GAGACCAAACGATGATAGGGAGTCACATGTATTTTACATGCTGTACATGTGTGTGTGTTGTGGTGCCTTTATGTGCTGTCCCTAAATTGTCTTATGTCTCCTTTTCCCTATGTCTTCCTGGACAGCTTTCGTTTTTACCTCCTCTTTGCCTCTTCTGGGAATCTCTCTGGTATTTCTCTCTCTCCCTCTCTCTCTCTCTCTCTCTCTCTCTCTCTCTCTCTCTCTCCTCCTCTGTCCTCTCTCTCTCCTCTCCTCTTCCAAGTGTCTCATTTTGCAAGCCATAAAATTAAACCAGACGGGTCTTTAAAATAAATTTTGCAACAACTAACTCAGGTTTCATTTTCTCTCTCTTATTAAGTCAAACAGGAAGAGAGTAGAGACTTTATAATCTCTCAAAAGAGTTACACTTCGTTGATGACACACACACACTCCTATGATGTTGTTAGACCCCAAGACAATTTCTCTATCCCTGATGCCAGGGAAAGCAAGAGGAGAGACAGAGAGGGCAGGAGAGGCTTCGCCCACTGCCTTGCAGAGCGAGGGGGAGACGCTCCCCGCCCTGCCCTTCCCAGCCTCCTCTTTCTACCCCTCCCTGTGCTGCCTCCTTCCCCACCATAAGGACTTCAGCTCTCCTACAATGCACTTTTCAGGTGGTTAAAGCTGGTGCCTTGACTGTTCCCAACTACCAACAGCCAGCCCCCAGCGTGCCCGATTAACTTCCATGCCCCCCTTTCCCTCCCTCCTCCCTCCCTCTCTCCAAGGTCGGTCACTATCATGAGTCAAGCCCAGGACACAAAAATATTCTCAGGGTTACCCAGGCACCAACCTCTCCTCGGGTGAGAGAACCTATTGTTTTGGCTTTTTTTCTTTTATCTTATACTCAGCTAATGAACTTTTTCTCTCTTTTTTTTTTTCCTGGTTGTTAGTACATGTTTGCAATACATCATGATGATTACACTTATTATGAAGAGTTGGTACACGGACATAACACGTCTTGATATTTTTTCACCCCTTCCCCGCCCATTTCTCCCTGCTCCTTGCATCTCTTGGTCCCCTTCCCATCTGCAAAGCCTCTATTTCCATTTTTTCCTTTCAATTCTTTTATTTTCATCTCTTTCCCTCCCTTTCCTTCCCTCCATCTCTTAATCCTCTTCCTGACTGAAAAAGATCTCCCTACTTCCTATTACCTATCTTTTATTTTGCTCTTTATTTATATGTTGGGTTTCTCATGTAGGATAAACCATGCAATATTTAAGCTTGCATGCCTGACTCACCTCACTTAACATTGTGGTCTCCAGGTGCACCCACTTTCCCACAGCCGCCTCAGCCTTGCCCTTCTTCGGGGCAGAGCAGTACCCAACTGTGTGTAAATTCCACATTGTCTTCGTCCATTTCCCTGGGGGTGAGCACACGGGGCTCACGAATTGCACTGCTAGGAACATGGGTGTGCATGGATCGCTGGATCCTCCTGTTGCCTCTTTCTTGCGTGGGCTGTCGGACTTGGCCTCCATCTGAGTGCAGCTCTGACCACCTTGGCAGGGAACTGGGACTCAGAGAACTGCGAAGTGAATGCCATGAACTCTTTACCAAGCGTCACCTTGTGCAAGGTGAGGATGCTAAGGCTGTCAGAGCTGCACCCAGGGCTCCAGCCCTGCGGACGCTCCTGGGGGTTGATGGGCTCACTGACCTCCCACCCCCCAAAAGTGTCACTGCTGGTCCCATCAGCAATAAAAGCATAACTGCCTCTACCCCTTCTGTCTAATTAATGACCTTCTTCAATTGATATGGAACCAAATGCAAGATGATAACTCAAGATAATAACTCCAAAGCAAGATAATGACTTCTTTGAAATGATTCCCTTTGAAATCGTCTTGTATTTTCCATCCTAGCCATAATTTGGTAATTGCTTAATAATTCTGTTTAAATGTCACCATTTCTGCAAACATCAATTCATTAGACCTACTTTTTCTGGCTGCCAGTCCCTTTGCTTCCCTAGTATCCTCCATCTCTTTCTCCCCTTTGTACCTGTGCCTGAGCAACATCCTAATGACACAAATAGCATCCCTTCAAAAAGGGCGGTTAGCAGCAAATCAAGGTGTCTCCCTGTGTTTCAGAGCCCGAGCAATGTAATCTCTGTCCTTGAAACGCTACCTGTGACTGCAAAGATGTAAGGCTACGTCTTTAAGCATCCAGCTTCCCTGACAGACAAATGAAGCTGTGATCACTGCAGCCTTAACCCCTCCTCCCAAGCGTGGGGGAGGCTGCAGGCAACACAGTGAGAGGCTGCTGAGAAGGAAAAGCCCAGAGCCAAGCCCAGTGCCAAGCCCCGAACCTGCAGCCCAACCAGCAGTGACTCAGCTGGGAGATTCCGTGGGGGCGGGGGTGCAGTCAGGTGTGAGAAGGCCAGCCAGGCCAAACCTTGCTCAAAGAAGGGTCTCCTCAACTCAGATGTCCACACACACACACAACCCCTGCATGAGACAATGCCCTGGCTCCAAGCTGAGCCTTGTGGCCATTTCTGTTTCGGGGCAGACACCTCACTGCCGGGGCAGCCTGTCCCCCTCTTCCTGACAAGGGGACTTAACTGACTCTGACACCTTCTTCTCTAAGGTTCCCTTGCACAGTCTGCCAGCTGAAATCCTCCAGTGTCGACCTTCATTTTTCACTGAAACAAGAACTCTGGCACTCAATATTAAATAATCAGGCTTCCTCATCCAAATGCTCATGCCCTGAAAAAAGCCAACCCAAGTGTTCATTGTTAGGGACCTGACACCGCCATCGCTGTACTCTCTTGGCTCTTACAATGACCTCAACGCTCTTTTCTTTAGTTTCCCTCCGCACCCCCCTCAAAGGCCACAGCTGTCCGGAGAGGTTAAACCTGAGTTTCTGAGGACCAAACCCATAAAGGGCAACCTGGCCTGTGATAGGTTAAAGGTAGCCCACTCCTCATACGTAAGCAACAGCCCAGGCCAAAACCAATCAAAGGACCTTCCTTTCTTTGTTCTTCTCCTCTACTCTCTTCTCTCTCCTCTCTCCTCTCTCCCTAACCTGCCTTCCCTAATAAAATCTCCTGTCGGACCTCTCATGTGTGGCCTGCTTGTTGAGCGTTGCTGTGCCTCTACATTCGTGTCAATGAAAAAGTGAGGAAACGTAGAGGAGGCCTAGATCTTCTATCCTGAGACCTCCCATGGGCAGGTAATGTCTAAGAAAGGATGTAGAAGTCAGGCGTGGTAGCACAGCCTGTAATCCCAGCACTCTGAAAGGCCAAGTCAGGAGGACTGAAAGTTCGTGCTTAGCCTGGGCAACTTAATAACTTTGTGAGCCTGTCTCAAATTTTTTTTTAAAAATGTGACCTAGGTTATGATCAAAAGACAAAAATGCTGGGTACGGTGGTGCACACCTGTAATCCTAGCACTCAGAAGGCAGAGACAAGAGGATCACCACAAGATTGAAGCCAGCCTGAGCTACATAGCGAGTTCAAGGCCAGCCTGAACTACATAGTGAGACCCTGTCTCAAAAAAATAATTTTTTTTTTTTTGGTGCCGGGGTTCGAACTCGGATTCTTGTGCTTGCGAGACAGGTGGCAGAGCCACTGAGCTAAATCCCGGCCCTCAAAAAAAATAATTTTTAAGAATTTAAATAAAAGACAAACAACAAGAGGGCCAAATGGGAAGTAGAAAATGAGAGGCTACAGAATTAGACTCGGGTAAGAGTTACTGAAGAAAGAGAAATTGGGGGTCCATGGAAGGGAAAGATGAGACAAATCACTACCCAAGCATTTCTAGCTTTGTCTTTGAGACTCGTGCATCGCCACGCGTATTTAAATAAGACTCACTGCAATAAACCCAACGTGTGCAAGTGCATCACCGAGATATAAGCAGAGCGTGTTCTCTCTGAGGGAAAGTGAGGAACCAAGCTGGGTATGGTGGTGCCACCGTAGTCCCAGCATTCCAAGTTTGAGCCCTTTCTGGGCAGCTTAGCGACTTAGAGAGACCCCGTCTCAAAACAAAAAGCAAGGGAGCGTGGCTCAATGCAATGATGCTGGGTTCAATTCCCAGTACCACCAAAACTTAAAAAGAGCTAACCAGTTCCTGGCACTGCTCCAAGGGTGGGCCCCAAAGGGACTGTCACACCCACGTCACCCTGGGGCTTTTCGCTGCTGGCTCCTCTCAGCCGAGCTTCCCCTTCTTTCTTCTTGGACCACGATCGCCTGCCTCACAGGGCAAACTGACTGAACGGTTCTGGGAAAGAGCAGAGACAGAAGGCCACCATCCGAGACTTGAAAAGCCAGCTGGGAGCCAGTCCACCCCTGCGCCGACCCGCTCCTTTCCGGCCTTTCGCGAGGCCTGTGTAGAAGCAGGGGGAGGAGGCGCAAGCTGAGGTCCGTCCACAGCGTGGCCAGGCACTAGGGTCCTGATCCATCCGCTTGCGTACAATCCATATTTACCTATCTGCCATCAAAAGTTTCTGAGTTGCTCTGGGATCCCCCAGGATCCCAGAGAATTACGACTGGTGGGAACTGTTCCTCTACCCATGCGTTTCTTATTGAATAGTTAGTTAAAAGTTCTCTCTGCGTCCTTGGCTCTCTATACATTTTTTTCCTCTAGTCTTGAGTGATATTGCTTAAAGAAACCAAAGGTAAAAATAATCAAAATACCAACAATCATACCCAACACTTGGCCAATGCTGAGTACTGAGCAAAACTGAGTGTGTATTAATTTCGTGCGAATTAATTCATTACATGCTCCCCACAGCCTGCCGAGGTAAGTGTTGTTAGATTTGTTTTACATCTGAGGAAATGGGTGCACAGGAAAAAAAGAGCCTCGGGCAGGGTCCCTACCAGCAAGTGGCAGAGCCAGGTGTGTCCCGGCCAGGCGAGGCCAGTTCCCACCCGTCCAGCGAATGCAATGGCGACAGTGATGTTGTTTTGAACATTTGCATCCCACTGTGAACTCTTGACTTACCTTTAACCCTTCTGTTTTTCCCTGCCACACTCTCAGACGATGGAAATGCTTAAGGCAACTAAGGTAGTGTGAGACCACACCGTGGCGCGCGGCTGCTGGGGCTGGGCCGTGTGTGCGCTTCCGCCCCCTCGCCCCGCATGCCTGCTCGCTCCTGGCTCGCATCCGCTTTCTGCGCTTGGCACTCGCGCCGCATGAACCATCCTCTTCTCAGCCGTGGATCCTGTGTTCTTGCTTCCGATTTTGTATCTGTGCTTCCCTCACACACTGTGCCCGGCACGGGGGTGAGAGCCCAGGCACTGCGGCTGTCGGCCTGGCCCGGCCTGACAAGGCTCCGGGGGCCCAAGGAGCGCCGACACCCACCGTCCTCTCCCGAGTGTGGGACCAGCTTCTGCACCTCTCCGCGGAGGCCCTGGTCCTGCACCTGTACCTGGCTGCGCAGCGCTCTCTGGGGCCGTGGGTTTAAGCTGATTCTTGCTGTCTTTCTCCGTATGAGAACGCTCTCTATGAACGTTGTGCCAGGTAACGGGGGCTCAGATGAGCCACGGAGAGAGGCAGTGATCTTATTTATTTTCTCTCTGTACATATTTTTATGGTGGACACACACGTATGTGTGGGGAAACCCCACATCATGAAGGGGAAAGGAAAACCGATGTTAAGCCAGTTATGGGCTACATTAGCCTTCACTGCATAAATACACACAGCTCCTTTTGGTGTTCCTTGCTTCCGTCCAAACTATTTCCATACTGAGTGAATTTAATAGGTGATAAAATCGATTTACAGAATAAATCTCTTGGGTGGAGATATGTGTGGCCAAGTGTATACTTGGAAGATTTAAAACGCAATCCTGTCTTGCCATGCAGCCTTCCTTCCCCAGCTGGCAGTGACTTCAGAAGTAGGGCTGCCTGGCATTCTCAGCCTCACTGCAGCCTGGAGGGGGGGCGCTTTCCACATCCATTGTCAGAGATGACAAAAATGGAAGCCTGAGGGTCCCTCGGGGGAAGTGACTGAATGCTGCCCAAGCCACGGGTTGGGAACTCACAGGATTCCACAGCCACAGCATCCTTGACGGGCAGATCCCTCACCCCAACCCCGTATTTAGAGAGAATAACTGAGGCCTGGAGGGAGAGCAACTTGCCCACGACGCAGTCCTCCGCCTATCCGAGCATCTAATGGGTGGTGTGTCCCTGGCCCTTTCTCCCCGGAAGGGTGAGACACCACCAGGAGAGCTTTCTAGAAGTAAAGAAAGGGAAGAGGTCTAATAGATCCATCCCAAGGGAGGGATCCCGGTCCTGTACCGGCTCTGCCACTAAAGCTGGGTGAGCTGGAGGAAGTTAATGCGATTCCTTTGTAAATGAGTTTCAGAACAGCAGACTTCAAAATGTATGGAGTTTGGGGCCTGAGATTCAGCTCAGTTGTACCACGCCTGCCTTGCAAGTGCGAGGTCCTGAGTTCAGTCTCTGGTGCTGCAAAAAAAAAAAAAAACAAACAAGTATCAAGTTTTCTCATTCTCAGTAGGCTGTTCCCTGGGTTCCTCCTACCAGTATTCATTTTGCACTACCAGAGTACAGAACTAGTTATAGTCAGACCGTGCCTGTGGGGACAGCCTGGAGGAGCAGGGGCCTGAGAGTCTCTCACCAACTGGAGAAGACAAGGGCAGGAGGTAGAAGGGAGAAGAAGAAGCCTCTCCCCTTATGCAGATCCACGCCACCCGGGGGGATGTGGCCCGCTCCAGTCTGGCCCTGTCAATGCACTGATTTCTGCAGTTTGCATTAACTGGCTTGCTTCTGCTTCTCCCCTTTCTCAAGATCCTACTGAATAGAGCTCTAGGCGAACAAGGTTGTGTTTTGTTGTTTTCAGTGAATTGCTAACCAAGTTAACAAGGCCAAGGAAGTCTCCCAGGCAGGCAGAGAATAACTTGAAAGCCTATAAGGCAAGAAGAGAAACCCACATTCACCAGCTTTCAGCATGGTTTTGAGATGCAAACCCCCCCTTGTTTACACAAAATGATGGAAACACGGATATTCACCAACTATGCAGCATCATTTTCACAGAGCTTTCCTTTTCCATGGTAAATGTGTGACATCTTTATGATGAATGTTCTAGAGGAAGCAGAGCATCATCACCGGATGTAGCATTTTGGCCCTTTTGAGCTTTTCCATACACTGAGTCCCCCCTCGCCCACAGCAGCCTTCCCTGGGCCTCACACTGATTCCTAGGTGGGTAGGAGGAGCAGGATGGGGAGTGAGGACAGAGGAGTGAGGAATACCATGGGATGGGTCATTTCCTGGGAACTTCTCAGGTGCTGATACACCTGGACAAAGTACAGACCTTCAAGGACCCGGGCCTCTGAAAGTATTACCAGGATAGAATTTCGGCTCTGGAATTTTGGGTCTGCAAGGGGCTTAGGGGCAGCAGATCTGGTGAGGAATGGGCTGTGTAAAGGGATTATTAAGTTCTCTTTGCATAAGACGTCACTTAAAATTGAGAAAGACCAATAGACCACGTCATCCAGAGGGGGCAGCTGCTGGAGATTATGAAAAGGGGCCTTGGGCCTCCTTCTTTTTTGTTTGTTTGTTTTTTGAGACAGGGTCTCACTATGTAGTTGAGACTGACCTGAAACTCACTATGTAGCCCGGGCTGGTCTCGAACTCACAGCAATTCTCCTGCCTCAGCCTCCCAAATGCTGGGATTACAGGCATGCACCACCATGCCCAGCTTCCTTGGGAGTCCTTCTGGTGACCTCGATTGCCTGGTGCTTCCAGTCTTCCTGTGGCAGCTGAAGTCCTGTTTGAGGAAAATGGCCTCCTTGAGTGGCCACACAAGACCAATCAGTCACACCACAGAGGTTGCTGGGCAGGCAGGTGGGGAATGAACTCCTCATTTACATCTCTCGTTGCCAGTGAACCCCCTGAACAGGGCAACCAGCCTGGGGTTGGTGCTGGGGATGCCTTGTTCAGGCTTCTCCTGAGTCAGGTCTGCTCCCTGAAGGCTTGAGGTAATTGTTGTCCTGCTGAGACCTCTAGTGACCAAACTGGAGACTGCAAGTGTCCCAGGAAGACAGGAAGCAGTCTTGTGGGAACCACCCCTGAACCACAGCCACGCGTGGCCATGGTCTGTGGAGGCCTCAACTTGAAATTCTTTCCTGATAGAAGGGAAGCAACTGTGACCTGAGATCCCTGAAATATCAGCTGGAGTCGAGGTCCTCACAATGTGAATGTGCCCTGCAGTCCTTTCACAGAGGGTTTCTCCCTGGTTAGCCATGGTGATCAGGTCACAGCCTGCTTTTGTGCTTCCAGTTATTGCTGCTTAGTTCTAGCATCTGCCAGAGGCCCTCAAATTGGCCAACCTCTCATGTCTTTTCCTGGCTTCAGGAAGAGCTCCCAAAACTCAGCCAGTGGAGCCTCCACTGTCTGACCGGAGCTTTCTTGGCACAGGAAGTAGGTTATCCCTGACAGCAGACTGAATTGTTTTCATTGTTCTAAACCAGCTCTCCAAATGTGGCCCCACACCAGCAGTAGCAGTACCCAGGAGCTTGTCAGAAATGCAAATCCTTGAGCTCCTGAATCAGATGCTCTGGGAGAAGACTCGGGAATCTGTGTTTAGTACGTCTTGCAGATGACTCTGAGTGGTTTTGAGAACCACTGCTCTAAACGCTGATTCTCAAATAGCAGTAGATACAAAGCAACAACTCCCAGCTTTCTTAAAAAGTGGTTTCTGACTTGGCCTCTGCAGACCTTTAGTTGCTCTGCAGCAGGGGTGCCAAGGTCTGCTTTCTAATCATCGTTGTAGGTGATTCTAATGAAGAGGGTCCTCTATTCTGACCAATCCTGCTCAGGCAGGAGCAGCATAAATACTGTTCCCATATCCCATCAGTCAGGAAGAGATCTCCACATGTCAGATCCTCCAGGCCTTTGGATGGAATCATACTGGTCCTTTGACAAATTATGGTTTTGCTCCCTCTGCAAGGAAAATCTCAGAGGAGCCTTATCATAATCCAAAAATGAAGTATTTCTTAGGAAAAAGACACGTATTACCGAGAGAACAGGAAGCCTGTGGCTGGGAATTGCCTGAGTGTGGGACAAAGCTCTCTGGGCCTTGAGTCCATCAGACAGTGAGTCGCCCTTTCTTCTCCCTTCTCAGACAGACACAGAGACTCCGTAGTACTTTCCCAGTGAGACCCAAGAGGAGACGTTGCAATGCCGCCAGGAAAAATCGGTTTCCAAAGCTTAAGGTCATAATAAATACACTTGGCTTTTACGGCCATTGCTCTGGTCACTCTGGAAAATTAAGTTTGTATTTGTGAAGAGCCTTGTAGATGCAGAGTTCCAGCTCTCACCACAGCTCTGGGCCTCCTGGGAGCTGCAGAAGAGACTGACCGTGGCTCTTCTGCCCCCTTTCACTCCACCATCCAACAGCCTGCAGGGCACCCACAGTATCTTGAGGCACTAATTTGTTGGGAGGTGCCCCATGGAGACTTGTGTGCGGAGTCACATTTTCAAGACTCTAACAGGACTGGGGGAACTGATGCTCCTTGCCACCTACCATTAAGAGACTCACAAATTTCCCAGGCACCAGCACTGCAAAGAGATTGTTTGGACAAGACATGCAAACCATTTTTTGAATCATCTGAGCAGAGCAGGCAGAAAGCTAGCTTCCTGTCTTCCTTCTTTTCTCTTTCCTCCTTCTTCCTTCCTCCCTTCTTCCTTCCTTCCCTTCTGTCTTCTTTCCATCATCCACCACTTACCCGTTTTCCCATGCTCCATTTCCCACCTTTCTGTGCTTCTGTGATTTTCACCAGCTCTTTTCCTTCCTCTTCTCTTCTTCCTTCTTGTTGGGCTCCTCACAGTCCTGAAAGCCAGAACGCACACGCGCACACACACGCACACACACACGCACGCACGCACACGCGCGCACACACGACCTCCAGGAGCCTCATCTGCACTGTGCTGAAGCCACCCGCATCTGCCCACAGGGTGCCGCCCCATTCACTGTAAAGGACAGATCTCCCCTCACTTGAGTGGTTCTCAAGATAAGAGAAGAGCAGCAAAGGGAAACCCAAGGAG